TCCTATCGGGCGCCTTACTGACTACCTACCAGACCACCCCAACCCAACCCGAAGACCCGAATTTCGGGTTGGGGGGGGTAAGGGTTCCACACGTGTTTTTTCGATGTTTCCCGACACCCCCCCTACTGGAAATCGAGGGTAAATCTGAGCCTTCGGGTTGGGTTGGGGTGGTTTGGTGGGTGGTGACTTACCGCGTAGTCGGGAGCGGCCAAGAGGGGGGTGTCCAAGAGGCAAATCATGACCGGCGGCACGTGCACGGCCCAGCGGGGGGGCCAGAGACGTCATGAGATAAGAAGAGGCGCCATGAGATCTGGGGAAATATCATGGCCCGCGCCATGAAATCCACCTCCCCCTAGTCATCACCCCCCTCTTTTCCGCCCCCGACGTAGACTTCCCTCTTCCCTGGAATACGTCAGACTCGGGTACGGGGGACTCGGGTTGGCCTGACGGGGCCCTCATACAAATGGCGGGACCCCATCTGAAATTTGACGCGAGCTCCCGCTGCAAACGTCCCGCAAAAACTGGGCCGTCAAAATCCAGGACGCGCTCGTCAAAAAACGTCGGCAAACCCGAGTTCTGGCTTACTCGAGTCTTACGTGTCCCCGATCTTCCCGGTTGGATGTACCAGCGCTGTCTTCCTCCACCCACCAAGAGCAGTAGACAAGGGATGGGCTGGAGGAGGAGCGAATCGGTTCACGGAACAGCTTCAGCATCAGCTGCGAAGCGCAGGGTGGGAGGGATTCTGCTGTCAAGGAACGATCAAGGGAAGCACAGAAGCCAACACAGGGAACCGAAGTGCGCAAGAAATATCGGCTTAGAGCGGTTGGATGACCAAACGAGGGGGAAGATCAAATGGATCCAATCATCTCTGTGGCGTTCGCGACACGTGGCTCGTTAGAGTCGGGCGCTAAGGCCGACACAGCAAACACATTTGCTCCATGAGGCCGTAAACCCTGCATCCACCAGCCGCGCTACGTAAACCTCCGCTGGACCCGGATCCACTTCGGCGCCCCTGGGGCACCCTCTCCTGGGCGAAGCCTCGCTCCACGCGCCTGCCTGGACGACGACGACGGCAGCTGGGACGACAATGATCTTATGATGCGATTGGCTCGAGCTGCGTCCCGGGAGTTCCGGCGTATCTGGCTAAAGGGACGAAGCACGACACAAACATAACAACTCGGAGGTCCGCGCGGATTTCTCGGATCCGCGCCGGGGCCCCCTAGCGGCGCCTCTGGCGCCGCCTCTGGCGCGCTCCGCGCGCCAAGGATGGGGGGTCTGGCGCGGAGCCGAGAAATCTGCGCGGACCTTCGAGTCTTTCTGTTTGCGTCAGCCTTTGATCCTCTACTGGCGGCCCTCGATTCTGGACCCAAGCGAATCATCACTACAGGGCAGTTTTTAATACATAGGATTTTGAAGCATACAGGAATTTAAATACATGCTGAATGTATGAATAAACTTATGCATGAACTCATCGTTGTTATCAATACTACATCCCTGCATGCTTAATACATGATCCGCACGCAGAGCATGTATTAAAAACGGCACTGTAACACGATCCTTTGATGGCCCGAGCAGCGGCGGTGGCCACCCGGGGGCGCGGCGAGCTCCGGCTCGAAGAGCGCCTCGGCCTCCCCGCCGAGGGGCAGCAGCACGCCGCCATCGCTGCCGCCGAGGATCCTCCAGGGGGCGGTCGGGGAGGGCAGGGCGCGGCGTCGGCGAGGGCAGCGGCGGCGTCGTGCCGAGTGGCGGCGCGCATAGGGGGGTAGGGGGAGGGGGCAAGGCTTCTTAGAAAGAGCCTGCTTCTTGGGAGGCGCCGGCCTTACGGAAGGGGCCCTGGGACACGCACATAGATGGACACAAATTAAAGGATTCCCCATCTTTTCCCATATGTGGTTTTTTTTTGTCTCCCCCCCCACTTCCCAGATTTTCCTGTATTTTCTGGGGAATCGACGATTCATTGTGTCTATGTGTTTGTTCCCCTCCTTACTTACATCTGCAGAGAGGGGGCGCGCGCCTTCTGAGGAGCAGAAGGCGCTTCTGAGGAGCCTTCCCCCCCTCCCCTGGGCCCCCCTCGAGAGAGCCCCCCCGAAGCGAGGAAAAAAACAAACCGAGGAAAAACCCAAACCGAAGAAAAACCCAAACCGAGGAAAAACCCAAACCGAGGAAAACCGCGAAATGTCCTCCGAGGAAAACCTCTCCCTCGAGGAAGAAGCAGTACAAGACAATGACAGGGCTCCCTCCCGAGCGACACGGGAGCGCGCCGCGGCGCCCCGAGGCACCTCCCACGGCAGGACCGACGGGCCAGAAAGATGTTTCCCGACGCCCTCCGGAGACCTCCCCAAAACCGAGGCACGAACCAGACCGAGGAAAGAACCCGAACCGAGGACACAACCCCAACCGAGGAAACACCCCAAACCGAGGAAGCACCCAAAAACCGAGGAGACACCCAAGCCGAGGAGAAAACCGCGAGAAATCTCCCCCCCTCCCGAGCGAAAAACGGGAGCGAGGCCCCCGTGGCGCGCTCCCCGGCGCCCCGAAAGGGGCCCCCCCTCTCGGCCGGCGCGTGGGCCGCGGCGGCGGGGGCGGCGGCCTCTCGCGCTGCCCCACACCGCAGCAGAGCAGGAGCCCTTCGGGAGCAGGGAAAGCACACAGATGACTGCCTACCAGACCACCCCGACCCGACCCGAAGACCCGAATCTGACCCGAACTTCGGGTTGGGGGGGGGGGGGTACGGGTTCCACATGTGCCTTGTTCGACGCTCCCCGACCCCCCCCCCCACTGGAAATGGAGGGCAAATGGAGGCCTTCGGGTTGGGTTGGGGTGGTCCGGTAGGTGGTGAACACAGATGGGGCTCTCGCGCGGCCACGGCGCGCCCCCCGAGCCGCGGGCCGGGCCCCGCGAGCACCCGGAGATCCGTGCCCAGGAAGAGGGGGAGCAGGAAGCCCGACGACGACGACGACGACGACGACGACGACGAGGAGGACGACGACGACGAGGACGACGACGAGGACGACGACGACGACGACGACGACGATGACGACGACGACGAGGACGACGACGAGGACGACGAGGACGACGACGGCCTGGGGAGCAGGAAGCCCGACGACGACGACGACGACGACGACGACGACGAGGACGACGGCAAAGACGACGATGACGACGACGACGACGACGACGACGACGACGACGACGACGACGACGACGACGACGACGACGACGGCGGTCGTCGTCCACGCCAGAGGAAAGCCGGGCCCCGGGGAGGCGGTGCAGGCCTCCGGGTATGGGGGGGCGCAAGTGCGAGGCAGCCACGGCGTGGCGTAGGCCTGGGCCTCATCTAGAGGGCAGAAAATCCACCCCCATGATAAGCAACCCGGCGAACGAAGCCGCTTCGTAAGCGCGCCCAGGGCAGGGCTGCTTCGTCAACACCCAGGGCCGTTTCTAGCAAACGCCAATGATCGGGGTCGGGGTGGTTGCTCCTCTCTTGAGAAAAACCAGAGCCCCTCCTGAGCCCAAAGTGGTCCTCCTTTCATCGTCAAGACTGTGTTCCCTCCGTCTCCTCCTCCTCGCCCTCTTCTGTTCCTCCCTTCTTTAACTGTTGATATCCCCCACACAGTACTCGAACTTCGGGTTTCCTACTTCTGCTCTACAAAACTGGGGCTGAATGTCGTTGTGGCGGCTCTGTGCTCGCCGTCGCCGCCCCCTGCCCATCGTCTGGGCCTGATCGTCGGTCCAGCGGTTCCGTGCCCGCCGGCAGCACCACATAGATCGCACCACATAGTTTGCACCACATAGACTGCACCGCACCAATTGCACCGCATAGATCGCACCACATAGCTTGCACCACATAGACTGCACCGCATCAATTGCACCGCAACGATCGCACCACATATTGCACCACATATTTTGCACGAAATAGATTGTACAACCTAGACTGCACCACTTAGATGGCACACCGTAGATGGCACGACATACATTGCACAACATGTGTTGCACAACATGGATCGCACCACATAGACTGCACAACCGAGATTGCTAGAAGCACGCTAATCGGGGTCCACGCTGCATCACATTACTCTTCTACGTACGATTCGTGTTCGGGTGAATATTAACACTTCGAAGTAGTAGTATGTTTATTCTCGTGCGGTGCGCACCTGGGCTGCCAACTCTCTGCATCCCCGAAAGAACCACGTGTTTTGGAATGCCCAGTGCGGCCTCTCAGGCGACAGCCGCTCTTCCCTTCTCCCCCTTTTCCCTCTCCTATTCTCCGCCTCCTCGTGAGGAGGAGGAGGAGGACGAGGAGGAGGAGGAAGAGGAGGAGAAGGAGTGAGGGAGAGGAGAACTGCGGGGGAGGAGGCGGGGGAGGAGGAACGAAGATGGGGGGGGATCCGAGGAAGGGGGAGGCGCACGGGGAGGGGGGGAACGCGAAAGGAAGAAGATATGAGGACGAGGAGGGGAAGCAACACAGCTACTTCGCGCTGCGGGCACGAGGGGGAGGGAGATCGGGCTCCCTGTGGAGCAAGACTCGTCTGAGAGGTGCGCCGAAGCCGGGAAGGGACTTCACAGGAGCGCCCCCACCGGCACCAATACGTGGAGCTCCCTGTGGGCCGCGAGCTGTGTGAGGTACGCGCCGAACAGTGACGGGGGACGCACGCGTGCGTCCCCGCGAGTGCCATGTGCCATGCATGGAGCTCCTAGGGCACGATCCGCATGGCAAATGTGCCGAATCGGGCGAGGCGGGCGCGTAGGTCCACCCCCAGCGGGGCACGACCCGCATGAGAACTGTGCCGAATGCGGCGGGACGACCGCAGGTGCCCCCATGTGCTTGGTCCGTAGTCTACATGTGGGGTTTGGGCAGGGCGGGTGCATAGGCACACTCCAGTCAAGGCCGTAACGGTGCGCGAGAAAGTTTTGCCGAATGGGGCGGAGACTGCGCGTAAGCCCACCCACGCTGGGGCCATTGGTGGGGCTCCCTGTGGGGCACGATCTGCTTGACGGGTGTGCCGAAAGGGGCGTGGGGCGGACAGCAACAGCAGCGGCTGGCAGCGGCAGTGCAGCTGCAGTGCAGCAGCAGTGCAGCCAGTGCAGCAGCAGTGCAGCGGCAGTGCAGCGGCAGGCAGCGCAACGGCAGGAGCAACCTGAGGGAGAGGAGGGAGGGAGGGAGTGAAGGGGGAGACGCGCGGCGCCGCGGATCGCGATCTCGAGAACCGACCACAGACGAGGGCAGAGAAGTCGCGATCCTGGATCCTCCCCCCCCGCTCGACGAGAGTGCCCCGTCCCGGGGAGGAAGGGACGGGAAGGGGGAGAAGGAGGAGGAGAAGGAGGAGGAGGAGGAGGAGGGGAAGGGGGAGAAGGAGGAGGAGGAGGAGGAGGAGGAGGCGCCAGCCCGCCTCCCCCCTGCCCCTCTCGTGCCTCCTGCGCGTGGCTGCGGCCCGTCTGCCGCCCGCCTCCCCCGGCTCCTCCCCCGGGGCGGACGGCAGCACGGAGAGGGGGGGAAGAAAGGCGCGGCCTCCTCCTCCTCCTCCTCCTCCTCCTCCTCCTCCTCCTCCTCCTCCTCCTCCTCCGCCTCCTCGTCCTCCTCTTCCTCCTCCTCCTCGTCCTCCTCCTCCTCCTCCTCCACTTCCTCCTCCTCCTCCTTCTCCTCCGCTTTCTTCTCGATGCACGCGCTCTCCTCCCACGAACAGCGGTCGCGCAGATTGTCCGCGAGCGCAGGCCTCCCTGGGGGCCTCCAGGCGTCCCCCGGGAGGCCCTGCGGGGGCCTTCGAGAGGCCCAGAAGCGGCAAGCACTGGCCCGAAGGCATCGAAAACCTCGACCCAGCACCCGTTGGGGCCGCGGTGGCAGTGCCTCGGGGAAGAAACAGTGACCCACGCAGCAAAGCTCGGGGCTCCGCGCGGATGGCTCGGATCTGCGCTGGCCTCCCCGGGCGGCGTCTGCCGAGCCGCCCGCGGCGGGCTCCGCGCGCCGGGGAGGGGAGTCGGGCGCCGATCCGGGAAATCCGCGCGGGCCGCCGAGAGATTGGATACTGCCTGCAACCGAACATGCGATCGATAAACTCATCACGTAAGAAATCTGGACCAGTTTCCGGGAAATGTCTCAAGACAAGCCTGGGCAAACTGCTTTTGTTCGCGCTGGAGGGGAGAACGTGCGCAAGAAACTGGACCAGAACTGTGGAACACGTTGGCCAAGACACGCTGGCCCAGCTGTTCGGGAGGAGGTCTCTTGTCAGATGCTCGGCTGTATGCCAGCTTGTGCTTCAGCATCTCGGGTGCCCTCTCCTGCGACTCGGAACCCTTCACCCCCCAGAACGAGATCCTCACCCTGACTCGTTTTCTGACAGTCCCAGGACCCGTGGTCCTGGGACTATCAGAAACTGGGCCAGCACTCTGGAACAAGCTGGCCAAGAAACGCTGGCCCAGTTTTTCGGTATGAGGCCCCTTGATGAAATGCTCGACTGTACAGTCGAACCTAGGATAGGTAATCTTCCTCAAGAATTCGAAACCCTCCGCCGGCCAAAACACACAGAACAGCCGAGAGTACCCTCCCCAGGGTGCACAAGAACATCCTACAAGCACGAAGAACACGAGGGTGCCCTCCCCGAACCGACCTCGATTTTACACCTCGGTCCGACAGTGTGCCAGTTTGAGCTCCAGCATTTGGGGTGCCCTCTCCCGCGACTCGG